TGCCGCGCCTGATGATTTTTGCTGGTCTGTGAGGTCAGCATATGCGGGTGTTTGACATTGCATTGTTCTTGAATTGGTCAAAGTTGCTGTTGGTCAGCGGCAACGATGTGGATCCCGCCCACTTCTATACCAGCCGCAGACTTTGGGCATGGTGCGTGAGCTCGTAGCAACTTGGAGCACGATCGTGCGCCTGTAGAGTTTGCACGGACGTGTTTCCCGGCTCATCTGATCCTGCTTGAATTGTGCATTGCCCCGAGCTTTTGTAGTCATGCGTTTTGTCACGCGGAGACCATCGGGACTCATTCCTGTGAAGAGTTCGGCAGCACTTGGGAGAAGCGTCCAAATGTTTTTCTGTGCGATCGCAACCATCGGCGAGAGCGAGCGTATTCCAGTATTTACGAGAATGCATACACTCGTTCGTTCTTTCGTTTGTGGGCTGTGTCTGTCTGCCTGACTGCCTGGCTGGCTGACTATCTGTCTGTCTGTCCGTCCGTCCTTCCGCTTGTCTTCATGCATGTTGTTGGGTGTGTATCCATGTAGTCAAACACCTACCAATATCTCATATCTTCTCTCATGCATGCAGGTGTTTGAACACCAAGTGTGTTTCTGTGCGGATGCGCATGTGTGTGCGTGTGTTGTGAGTGCATGTGCATGCGTGTGTTGCCTTCGGCAACCGTGTGACCATGATATGACCGCATGTCCCTAAACAACCAAACCCAAACTTCCCCCAAAACCTGAAACTTTCCTCCCAAAGCCGTTAAAAACCCTTTAAAAGGCCCTAGTGTCGAGCCATTAGAGCTTGGCTTGTCGTTTTTTTTTTGCTTTTCCTTTTTGAACCTCGAGGTTGGGCCGCTGGCAGGGGGAGTCCCAGCTGCTGGCCTTCGCCCCTTGGCCTTCGGCAAAGAGGGCTTTCAAGGGGCCGCCGAAGGGCGGGGGCTCTTTTTGGGGATTTCTCGTGCGAGCTTTTATTTGTTGTGTTCAGGGTTGGCCTCCTTGCTTCAGTCTTGAAGCATTCTGACGTCGATTCAGATGCATCGGTGACAGAGCATTCTGACAGGCGCGCGTCTTCGTCTTCAATGCCACCTGGCTTCTTGCACTGCATGGTGCTCAGGTCTGCCAGAGTGGCTCAGGCAGCATAGACCTACACAGTTGCAACCTACGTAGCAGCGCGTTCGGAGGTGGTCGTTTCTTCGCTGCGCTCTTTCCGATCCGGGCTTCGTCCCCTCATGGCCGGATTTCTCAAGAGGCTCCCAGGTGCTTTTTGGCTTCTGACAGCCCGGCTTGGCCGAGGTGGTTGGATCAACAAGAGCGCTGTCCGGAGCGCCTGTCATTGCCGCACGATATGATGTCGTTACGGGGTGCAATCAGTGTGCGGACCAGGAGGCCACCGGGAACTCCTTCTTCGGGTGGCAGCCAGGGCTGCTCCGGCACTGCTTGGTGAAGCGAGAAATGCAGTCGTGCTGACTGTTTCCAGCATTGGCATGTCTGACCAGTTTCGTGCCCAAATAGCATCGGGAACATGGGCTCGCCAACATGTCTTGCCTTGCGGGTAAGTCCCTTCGGTCGTGCCTTCTGAAGAATATTGGCCTGGCTACACATCGCAGTCTCGGCAGTGCTAGCATGCAGCGACTCCACGCTTGGCCTCGTTTCTTGGCGATTCCGCTGGTTTTTTCCAAGAAGCGAGCGCTGATACTGCTAGTACCGTAGCAGGAGCCAGAAGCCTGCCACCGCCACTGAACTCCAACACGGTGATTCAGAAACGGTGAAAAGAAACGCTGGAACACAAGGAGCAAAGTCGAAGGCGGGAGTCGCGTTGTCTCCATACTGGGTCCTTTTCTAAGTGTGCTGGCCGCCATGCGGGAAATTGAGCTTGGACTCTCATCGACTTACAAAAGATCCCAGTAGCCGAAGACAGCAGCGGACGGCGGGCGTTTGTGCACATGGCAGGAAGCCAACGACTTGCCACAAGTGCAACGAGCGTCGGCCAGAGAGCCGGAAGCTCAGGTGGAGACGGGCCGAGCATTTTTGATACATGATAATGTGTGTGTATTTTTTTGTTTGCAGCATCCGTGTGCAGCTCATGGTAGATGTGCCAAGTGCTGTGGATCTGCCAGGAGCCCACCACTGCAGCATCTGTGGCAAATGTGTGATGCGCATGGTCCGAACCTGAGACTGGCTGCTGCCGAGATGCACAAACATGCTTTGAACATCCTTGAACGATTTCCCATCAATGCCTGTTTGCAGGATCACCACTGCCCGTGGGTGGGTAATTGCTACTTGGTTGCATCTTTCGTGAGTAGCGGCCCATACTCCAAGCAGATCCAAACCACATTTGGGCGCGCTTTGCAGTTTTCAGAGCAGCAGCACTGACAGCGAACGCCGCTGAGTGTTCTATGCTTTCGCAGATGTAAGACTTGACCCCTCGAGTGCCTTCTGGTGTCGTGTGTATTCAGAAAGCGGGCCAAAGTGAGGTGTTGGGGCCAAGAATCATAAGCCGGAGCCCAAGAGCAAGGGGTGCAACAACCTGTGCTGCACGGATACCTGTGCACAGCTGAGATACTTCATCCTCATGCTGATTTACGGCATGACATCCGCCCTTGCTTACGCCAGACCCTCGTTCCAAGCCCCCTGCGTCATAGCTTCGTGTAGTCTGTCGCATTAAAGGAGAGTGCAGGCTAGGTAGACCCGTCTCTTATGTGGGCATGCACTCACATGCGACAAGTTTCAATCCGGCTCCCCGACATCGGCCAGGTCGTGGCAGCCAGGCCTATCATCGTCTCGTTGTTTGTCCCTCGCGCACGTGAGGGACTTAGTCAGCACGGAGCCATGACATTGTCATCGCGTGTGGTGTTAGAGCCTGAAGTTGCTTCCATGGGCCGCGGCACTGCGACACTTTCTCAACATTCCGGCAGGAGCTCCATGCTTTCGTAGCATCTCATAATTTCTTCCTAGATTTTCATAGCAAGTCAGCAGCCGGAAGCATCTCAATGTAACGTGCAGCTTGGTGACACTTTATGTTTGCAGGCATCGTGCAGAAATCTGGTTGACACCCCGTGCAAGGAGCCGTGTTTACAGCACGCGTGCAAGCTCTCGTGCAGAATCGTTGCGCAGCACCCTAAACCCTAAACCCGAAGCTATGAGCTTTCAAGTAGTGGCTTGGAGGACTGGCAGCATGTCCCAACTTGCCAACGCCACATTCGATGCATAAGCGAGCAAAAGCACCAGCACCATCCAGCACCAGAAGCTTCGCCTCACCTTTCTTGTCCACTGTTCCGGAGCACAGCCCAGGCTATCTGACTCGGGGTACGATGGGGCCTGGGGGTTCTGGCCCAAGACTGCTTAACATCGAATCGAGGGCAGTGCCGCTTGAATGGAGCGACTCATGCGGCTGTGTGAGCTTGGGAGTAAAGTTGAAGAGCACCCTGGCTCTGGCTCGCTGAGGTTTTGGGATCTTCAGCATGGGCGCTGTTTTGGCCGCGTCGTTGTGTCGCATCCCAAGCTGCTCGCCGATTTTTGTGGAACTCTTGCAACAAAGCTCCGAAACGGACAAAACGCTGCTGATCCCAGCAGTGCTGGGGAGTTGTGCAGGTCTGGCTATGTCTCTGCTCTTCTTTTCCCACTTGTGGCGCCTTGGCTGCACTTCGTTTCTTGCAGGGGGCGTCTCGGACCGCTCTCGAAGGCTGATGGCAGTGAACCGCACTTCCATCGAGGTCGCCTATTCTGGCAGGACTTCCTTGGATGCTGGCATTGTGCCGCACGTGCCTTCAAGCTGTCTGTTCAAGGAACCCCTACAGCCTTGGCATTTTTCGGAACGTCTGCACCTGATCGGTGCGTGGTACGGCTTGCCTTGAGCTTGCATTGTATGTTTCATTGCGGGCCCTTCAGCCATGAGAAGCTTCGCTTATTCGGGCAGCGTCAGGAAACTAATCTAGACAGAGGAAGAGAGGGAGAGACGGTTTAGAAGTGTGCGTTTTTACCGGCATGTCAGAGTTCCTTTCCCCCACAAGGCCCCACAACAGGGGTGCACCATGCGCTACGGGTAGCCTCGACAGCTCCACAAAACAGAGCGGTTTAGAAGTGTTTCGAGGGACAACCCTCTGATGATTCATGTCTCAGTCTATCGATTTTGCGGATTGCAAGCCAAGCACGCTCGACATCCCCACAAAGCCCAAGACAGCCCATGTGGCCAGGGATGTAACACATCCCTCATGCTTTGGAGAGAGAGAGAGAGAGAGAGAGGCAAACGCGCGGGCTGGGGTGTTTGCCCCCAGCTCTAACCCCCAGCAAGCAACGAGAGAGGCGCAGCAGCTTTGCGGGCGCTGCGGTGCTGCCCTCGGGCTGGAACAGACCATCTGCATGAATATGCGGTTTGTGTGCAAGGTTTCGACTGGTTGCTGCCGATCAGCCCACACCAGCCCGGTGCTTCAGATCGCTTGCACCCCTTCTGCAGAGTGCACATGCGGGGCCCTGCGCACCATGTCATGGAAATGAGCACTAGACATACACTTACTTAGAGCAGAAGCTGGTGCCCGTCAACTCGTGCAAGGCCAATGACTGACGGTTGCGCCTATCCAGTATTCTCGGTCCGGCGCTCAGTTTTGTCCTCAAGTACATTTCGCCTGACCATGTCCTGCAGCTTTCGGGACAATTAGTATACTGGCTGGGTTGGGCGGTGTGAAAATGCGTGCAGCTGCCGCATTGCTTGTTGTCAGTTGCATATCGCTGAGGACTACGAAGCTGAGCTCAGCGATGTGTGAAGCATGTGCCTCTAGTGCAATATAGTGCAATAGCCCACGAACATCGTGGCTTAACTGCCAAAGAAGCAGACACAGGCGAGCGGACTGCAGGCACATGCTGCGAGACTGCAAACGGAGCCGCATGGTCACCGGCAGTGTTGCGACGGCAATTGACGGCCTGTGCATGGTTTTGTCGTCTGACTTGGTCATGCCATTTTTGTCAGCGCTCCTCCGCATATCAGATGGGTAGCGCACGAGTGAGGTCATGCGTTGCCGTCGTGCGTTGTCGCTGAAGGCTTGTCTGTTCGCAACAATGTGGAATCAACAGGCAGCTGCGTGACGACCTGATGACGCTGCTCATCGCTGGACATGAGACTCGACACGATTCAGATCGATTCAGTGGATGTCTCTCCTGGCATGCGATCAGGTCTGAGGTGCAGGTTCTTCAACAGCTTTTGCCATGGAGTGTCTCCTAACATTGTTTCTAGCGCTGCGTGCAAGTCCTAAACTCCTTTCCCAGGAAACCACTGCAGCCATGCTCACATGGGCTGGGCGCAAAGATTGCAGGGTACGTGCTGCATTGGGCAGCCTCGACCGATTAGGAGATGTGGATGTTGATTGAATCTGTGATGAGCCGCTGGCAGAAGTCGCATTTCCATCCCTGCTTCGCTGTCTTGCTTCCTTCCATCTGATCCTTCCTGCCAGCTGTTGTGCTTGCAGATTGCTGCTGAAGTCGGAGAGAGATTTGTGCTGAGACACTCCATGAGCTCGAGAAGCCGGAGAGCGCCGTCTTTCTGCGCGAAGTGCAGGAGGAGGCTATCCGTTGGTCTCCCCAGATCCAGGAGTTGAACCTGACATGTACTCTAACCATCTGTCATCAGTTCCATCGTGATAACATCTGCCCTGAAAGTCGGCGACACAAACAAATTGCGAACAAATTGCGACAGGCATCGGTTCTGTTCTAGTAGCCAACGATTCAAAGCGCATGCAACGTCTCCCGCACATGAACCAGATTTCAGGACTGCGGATAGCCCGGGAATGTAAGGATTGAGATCACGGGCCCGGGACGAGTGGTCCGCCATGCAATCTGACCTGCTGCGTCAATGCGTATTTCGGTGCGGGGATCTGCTCCTCGTTGCCTTCCTGAGTGAGTATGTCGAGCCGGTTTACTTACTTAGATGCTAGCGCCTTGTCGCTCCGTGACACAGATCGACACCGTCCTGGAGGGACGAAGCCCAACTTTCGAGGAGTCCCTTTTGCAGTGCAGTGCACGTGCCTTGAGCTTTTCAATCTTCTCCGTTGTCGACACCCCGGTTTCCAGCTAGTCACTACGAGGAGCTGACGCAGTTGCCCGCGCTGCGTGCATGTCTCCTCGAGGCTTTGAGGCCTCAAGCTGAGCAGTTTTGAATCTGACCGCATTGGTTGTTGACAGTCTGGCATCTCGCAGCAAGGCTGTATCCGGAACCTCCTTTGCTTATCCGCCGATGCATCGCCGGAGACGACGTGGCTGTGGGCTTGAGCCCTATGTTGCCTGCAGCAGGCTCCAGGTGCTGTAGATGGCGCCAGCTTCCACTCTCTTCCTTCCTATCCGAGGCCCCCTTTGTCGTGACGTGGAATCCGAGACGGTGTCGTTCTTGCCTGGCCAGGTTCGGCAGAGTCATGCTCGCAGCTTCGCAAAACCGAACTTGTCCGGTGTCTTTAAGGATATTTGGCCACATGGTCAACAGAGACAAAACACAGACACACACTCACACTTGCACTCACACTCACACTCACACTCACACTCACACTCACACTCACACTCACACTCACACTCACACTCACACTCACACTCACACTCACACTCACACTCACACTCACTCCCACACCCACACTCACACTCGCACTCGCACTCGCACTCGCACTCGCACTCGCACTCACACTCACACTCACGCACACGCGCAGACATTGAGAACGAGAACAAAGAAGACGGAAAAGTTGCGGTTGTCAAGAGTCAAGAGGGCAGCGCTTTCCGTGGAGGAAACCAGGGAGAGGACAGGAGGACACAGAGAGGTGAAGACCACGTGTTCATGCCGCCGCCGAACTTTCAGAAGGCTGAAGTTTCGAGGCTACTCGCGGGCTCGAGCACTGTCAGACTTTGAATTTGTCTCAGCGTGGAGATGTTCAGAAATCTTGCCCCAACCGGCGAAGACTGCACTTCGTCACTTCGTTGCCATGCTGCAGAAAATGCTTCCTGAAGTCTGTATAGCGATGATTGAAGTTGAAGTTGAATTCTTCCGCAGCTAGCCCATACAACTTACATGTAGTGGCTTTTGCATCAGGAGTTGCCGAACCAGAGCCGGAACCACATTTGCGCTGCTCGAACAGGCAATGAATGGAATTGGACCTTGTCTGGCTCACCCAAACTAAGGCTATCCAAGCCAAGGCCAGCACTACACTCCAGAAGCCATGTGCAATATGATTGTGAGTTTGTGTGCTGATTTCACGCCACAAAAAGCCTCGACATCGTAGCAGAGCTTTCTGCATACGACCGGCTCGGCGTCGCTCCTCTTTTCTACCCTTCGTGGGGTCACACAAGCGAGAGCCTGAAATCACGGAAGCCAAGCGCCTCGAAGCGCCAAAAGCTACCAGTATAACTCGAAATGCGCAAGAACTTGACACCACCATCGATGCGGCGGATCAGGATGTGTTGTGGGCAAGGCATGCTGAGGCACGGACAACATCCGACAGAGCAAGATGCCATCAGCTTCAACTCACCTGCTTGCGGTGGGTGGGTGGGAGCTGGCTGCAAGGACAGAATACACGCAGTCGTTGCTTTTCGAGCCTCTGTCACAGGATATCTTCATCTCCACATGGTCTCTTCAGCGCTCGGAGACCCTGTGGGGCGAGGCCGAATCAAACACCCTGCTAAGCAGCATGCACGTTCGCAGAGACCGACCCAGGATGCAAACAGTTTCAACCCACACAGGTGGAAGGACTGCTTTTGCGGTTGTTTGTTGTTCTTTGCCCGTTGGTTGTAGGGCAACCTAGAACTGGAGCATATGGTATATGTATATATAAAAGTGTCTTGGGCAGGAGAAGCTCAACGGCAATGGCCTTTGGCAGGGATACTCACCTGAGAAGGCCAGATTCTTTATGACACGTGGCACTGCTGCCAGTAGCTAATCAAGTTTCTCGGGAGCCGCGCTTTGTTGAGATGCCGTTAAAGAGTTAAAGATAATGTCCAGCAGCGATGTATTCCCTGTGCGAGTCCACCAACTACCCAGACGAGAGGGCCCACTCGCTCAGACTACGCTCAGTGTGGGATGCGGGTTCCGACGATGATGCGTTGACTGCAGGAAATGCAGGCTCCTGGCCAGTTGCGCAGCCTAGGCCACAGACTACGCCTTCTTGCCTTTTGGGGCTGGTTCGCTGCAGACCTAGCTTGAGTAAGCCCAAGGTTTCGTTTGTCAAGTCGCTCCGACCGAGGCGGAAATGTGTGGGCGACAACTTTGCACTCCTGGAAGCAGAGGTGCGCACGAGAGTGCATTTCTGACTCCGGTGCTGCAAGGAGCTGCAAGGATACATCCGGGTGCGCAGCCTGAATCTTGTTAGCAGGCTGTGCTGGTCGCCCTCTTGCAGCGCTTCGAGTTCAAGGTGCGCAAATCTTCTTGGACGTTGGGCAAAGCCATAGCTGGCCATAGCTATCTTTGTTGTTGCGAGAGTCACAGAAAAAGCTTGCTGCCAAGGGCAGTGGCAGTGGTGGTGAAGACGACTACTACTCTTACTCCCCTTGGTGCTGTCGCTGCTACTGCTACTGCTTCTGCTACGACTACGACTACGGCTGCTGCTGCTTCGACTCTACTCCTACTGCCGCTGCTTCCGCTGCTGCTGCTGCTGCTGCTGCTGCTGCTGCTGCTACTGCTCCTGCCGCTGCTACAGCGACTGCGACTACGACTCCGACTGCGAGTGCGACTACCTCTACGACTACTTCTCCCACTCATTGGTCCTCCTCTTCCTCCTCCTCGGACTAGGACTGGTAATGAGCAGATGCTGTCGTGTGCCAATCTGTTCCCGATAGCACGAAACAGGCAAGGTTGATGCAACAATTGATCTCCCCATGGCATACCTCAGCACGGGGTGATGCCAGAGGGATGTATTGCAGTGCAGTTGCGCCTCGATCAGAGTTCTTGTCTGCACACTGCTCCGAAGTGTGGCATCAATGACTTTGCGACTTGCAGCGGAGAGATCCGATCTTGGGTTGTCTGAGTTGTGAGGCGCCTGTCGGGAAGCGCAAGGTGGAGATGACGACAGGGGCGACAATCCACACGGCAGGCGTTGAAGTGACAGTTTTGCACCCGTTCTGCGACCGAAACTTACAGAACAGGGGTGAGGCAGGGACGGATCTGCGTGAAACGCAGCTGGACCATACGCAACTAAGACTGGTTCACTATGTGGGGGCTTTTTGGAACAGCCGGCGCCCCTCCAGAAGACTTGACGAAGAGAAGCGTTGTTGCAGGTGGTCTTATGATGGAGGTGAAGAAGCGAACGGACCGTCGTGCCAAGAAACATGGCAAAGGCCGCGTTGTCTCAGCAGTGGATGACACGATGCACGTGGCGCACAGCAGCTGCCAGGTCGGAAGGACGTGGATGTGAAGGGAGTGGTCAACATGGCGGCAGCCTCAAAAGTCCCCTGGGAGCTAGGTCCGCGACTTGAGGTCGTGGAGTGGGAGGTTTTGAGGTGCTAGGTGCAGAATGGTCACGACTCATGTAGCAACTTGGAAGGCAGCCCCACTGTGGATGCGCCTTTCTTGTGCTTTTGGCAACCTTCCTTCCTTCAGAAGCTTCATCTGTTGGTCCCATTTCCGTCAGTTTTTCCTGCCACTCGATGTTGTATCCTCGCTGCTTGATCTGGGAATGGCAGGAAAAGAAGCTACGAGGCACGGTCGCGCAGCGAGCCGTTCTCTCAACTATGGGAACAGGTGTTCGAGCTTGCTGTGCTGGTCATGAGCTTGGAGCTCCAAGTTTGATCATCTTGCCAAGATCGAGCCGGAAGCATTGGTCGTTCCCACGGCCAAAGAGCTGCGCATGCTTTTCACTGCACAGAAGGAGGCCGCACAGTTTCCCAAGGGGGATAAACATGTCTTCGTTGCTGTTCCATCTAGGTCTAAGGTAATCTTGACAAATCCGCGCGTGCAAACACGCCGCCATTGACTCGTTGTCGCCATCCTGTCCAGGATGTGCGAAAGCTCTCGCCAACGCCTCCGTCTCAGATCTGAGCTCCTTCTTCCTACAGAGGACGACACTGCAAGACCGCTTAGCCAGCGCTTGCTGGGCGACGGGAGCCTCAAACGACTCTGGCAAAGGCCGGAGCTTTTCGAGGCTTTGGAGAAGGCCTACAAGCAATGTGCCCTGTCCGCGATGATTGGCATTTATCTGGCTTGTAGCTTCTCCGATCGTCGTCAATCCATTGTCAAGCCTCTGCGGGATGGTTTCTCGGTGAAGTCAAACCTCTTCATTCGAGGCCAGGAGGTGACCAAAGAGTACTCCAAAACGCCTGCACCCAAGAGGGCGGCATGAACGCCTGCGCCATGAAGCTTCTTATCCAGAGGTGGATCGATCAGGGCTTGTCCCACCAGTAAAGGTTCTACCTGGGCTCGCAGCTCCTGGACCAAGATGAGCAGCGTGTCGTTTGGGTGCTCTGCAGTGCTGTCTTCTGCACAGTTGTGAGGTTTTGAATTGACGGGGGCCGGCACGGATTTTGCAGGCCATCTACAACTGGTGCCGAAGCACGGATGAGCTGGTTGTGCGGGCCTCGGGTATTCCCACTGTCTCGATGTGACTTGTGTAGCCCGCAAATTCCTGTGTCGGAAGCGTGGCCGGGCTGGGCGTCACGGGCGTCACGTTTCACTCGCCATCTCAGGATGGGCCTGAAGCCGCAAACACCACGATGGCGGCTCCTGGGCTGAGTTTCGACTCGACGACGTCCTCGAGACCGAGCGAAGAGTTCGCTTACAGCTGGTCTCAGGACCTCGAGGAATGGGAAGAGAGACTCAACAGGATCTTCCAGCTGCAGGTCGTAACCGAGGTTGCATGCCATATTACTTGACCGTGCTTTTGCGGCCAGGTGCCTGCAGATGGTGATCCAGCGGACTTGGCGATGGTGGACAGCATTCGCAAGCGTTGCCCTCGGCCCTTTCACTCGAATGCCTTGTCTTTATCACAGAGCTGCGATGCAGTGAGCTTTCGAGACCCAGGTTCTCCTTGATCCAGAGACCTTTCCAAGACATGCCCAAGGGCTCAGACGTGGTTTCCAAGAACTTCGAAGCCGCGATGTCTATTGCTGTCACACTCTCCCCAGGGTGGGCGGGATGGCAATGGATCTGGTCAAGGACAGCCGTAGGCCACAGGCGTAGGATCTCTTATCATGTTTGGCCGGATGCCTCCGCGTGCGTGCGTGCGTGTGTGTGTGTGTGTCTCTGTCTGTCCGTCTGCCTGCCTGCCTGGCTGGCTGGCTGTCATTGGCTGTCTGTGTGTCTGGGTGCGCGCACCTGCGAGCGCACTGCTTAGGGTTGCTGGGGTAGTGATGACGACTGCGCCAGGAGAGGTATGCCACCTTCTATGAGCTGGAGGCAGTTGCATGACCGGTTGAGATGCGATGCGCTTTCGAGATTCCAAGCGCGATGGTTGCAGTGCAGATGTGAAGAGCAGAAGTCAAAAGTAGAATCCCGCTGAAGGTGTACTGCTACCGCGTTGCTGGCACGGTGGGAATCATGACACTGCCAGTGTGCCTTGGCTCATTGGGTCGCCTGCTGTGCTCAGCTCGTTTAACTGGTTCCAAGGCTCGGCTTCGACCCAATGCAGAACTTCACAGAGGAGTTACAGGAACGCTGCTTCAGAAAAGGTTTAGCTTGAATGACGCAGGGTAACCATTGTCTTTAATTTCGTGTGCATTCAGGAAGAAACGATTGCTGCGGCAATGTCCCTCGGCGTCGCTTTCCAGCTGACGTCCCAACGGCCTGATTGGTACTTTGGAATCGGCCATTTCGGTGTTAAATGGGTTGAAGCGAATTGTCAATCTGCAACACTGGCAGGAATATTCTGCGAGATGTTGGTGAGGCCGTTGGTTTGGACTACTTGCTTCTGCACAGTTTTTTGCTCGAATGCGTGTAGCCGTGTAGCCATTGACATGGTGCCAGGATGCCAGGCGTGGTAGAATCTACGTTCCGTTGGAGGCAACGGCTGAAGTTCTCAAGCGGTTGGGTGGCCCGCGACCACCGTGCAGCTTGAAAAGGATCTCACACGTTTCGGCATCACCGAGGATGAGGTGCCCTCGAACAAAGCGGAAGTGGACTTGTTTTCGCCCAACACGCTCGGTTGCTGAAGGTGTTGGAGGCCTCTCAGACCGAGGGACTTCTCTACCACGAGAAGAAGTGGAAGGACTTCATGGAGTCTCGGCTGCACGTGCCTCTTTGCGCAGCGTATGTAGGGCTGTAGGGGGCACCGTCTTCGGGCGAGCATTTTGAACTGAGGATTTTCAGATGCAGCGGTGCGAAGAGTGGTGGCCTGAGCAGATCCGAGCGGAGCGGCAGGGGTGCCGCCACCTCGTCGCTTCTTGGTCGAGTCTCTGCAATGTCAGGGAGTACGACAACGCGAAGGCCGGCATCGTTGGCCTCTCGGAAGTCAACCGTCTTGGTGTGATGGCCGCAGCCTAAAAGCAAGTCGGATTGACCCCAAACGCAACCCTCTTTACTCTTATTTGTCCCGCCTGCTTGCTGAGGCAGCGCTGTATGTCTACGGTGCTCCCGGCCCGAATTTCTCAAATCGCCCTGTTTGCATCTGTGCTGCTCACGTGAAGTCGGCCTCAAGAAGTGAGAAGCACAGAGCAAGTCAGAGAGGGCAAAACGGAGCCCGGAATGTAGGAGGCAGTCAGGTCTGCCGGAATTGTGGTTCTACCCTAGGGTTTCCTGTTGCTGACTTGCTCGCGCGGAACTTCCGCGCTTGATTCTTTGGCCGACGACCCGAGCTCTAGTCATGCTGCCAGGTGACATCCTGCATCGTATTCGAGAGAACAACTACGACAATCTCAGTCTTGCACTCAGGGCATTACGCTACAGGCTGCAGCAGATGTTCCATAGCCAACTGTTTAATGATTTTCGCACTTCGGTGCTCGTTCGTGCCTGCACGAATCAAGCGGTATGTGTTCGAGTTCTGATTCCCCGTCATACTAGCACGAGGCCGCCGGGCGTACGTGCCCTTCATTGACAAGGTTTTCTTGATGGGCAAGGCGGAAGTGCTTCTCACCTTCGGAAACAGCCAGTCGAGCCTCCGTCCCCCCGCTGGGGCGGCTTTCCGAGTCTGGGCTCCCTTCATAGTCTTTTTAAGGGCCAAGTGGAGGTTCCTGAATCGCGTCCGAAAGATTGCCCGTTCAGTCTCTGCCAACGGACCGCTGCGTGGGCTTTCGCCATTCCCTTCGCTACCCTCCAAGCTTTCCCAATCCTGTAGTGCTTGGCTCGGCTTGCAGGGTGTTGGCGGCACGACCTGCATGCCGATCGAAGCATTCGTTAGAGAGATTACCAGCTGGGGGTGAGTTCGGCGCAGGCCTGGCTCAAGTGCCAGGAGCTGAAAAAGGCGCCGAATGCAGGGACGATCAGGGCGGTTTCGTGTCCAGCAGTTAAATTCGGCATATCGTTCCAGCTGCCAGGTGGCTCAGGAAAACATCCGAAGTGGCAAAGTCTTCACACGAAGGAAGGAACACTGAGCCGAACACCGCCGCCCGTTGGGTTGGAGGTGGGCTTCTCTGGTTCAGCTTACTGCATCTCTTCGCCCGGCTCTTGCCGTCCACGACATCCCTGTATTTTCCTGTTTCCTTCATGGTTGCATTGCCGTGCAGAGCTTGACAACCAGGATCCTCATCGGACCTTTAATGCTGCACATTTCTCCCTCCGGCTTATCTATCGACAGCAAAAGCGCATAAGCTGTAGGTTCGAGGAATACCACCAAAAATCCATGGGACCAGAGCCCACGACGGCAAGAGCCGGCCGCAGGCATGCAGTGCCTGATTCATGTGCAATTGTTCAGCCGCCTGTATACTTTGTGATCTATTTCGGGATATTTTCGAGTACGACAGCTGTTTAAGCCGGCCAATTGCTTGGACTCTCTTGGAGTCTCGCAGCAAATTGCTGTGGGTTTCTCAATCTTAGTGCTGTGCAAGCCACCGGGCGTACTCATAAATCCCTGCGGCTTGGCCCATTGCTGCCGAGGTGTCTGTTCTACAGATATCTAGGAGAGAGAGTGAATGCTTACCGGCAGGTTCTGGGTAACCCAAAACCAGGGACCCAGCCCGTGCGCTTGAGGCCATGGATTTTTATCTGCCCTCGATGAGGTTATTTCTGCGTGGTGAAATGCGAGGAAAGAATCGAAAGCAGAATCCCATCTGCAGCGTTTGGTCTTCTCCCGTTCAGAACTTGGCACAGGATCCTTTGTCAGACATTGGCGCTTGTTTCGGGTCTGTTGGGCTACGAGGCCGCAGCAAATGCACCAACTCTGCTTGTGCAGTCCAACCAACCTCGACATCAGCACGTAGTCACCAAGCTTTGCAGATTTCAGCATGCGCTTAAACCCTGTGTCCACTTGATGTTGGGCAACTTCCTGGGCCACAAGCTCAAGATGAAACATCCATGCCCTCCAGCCCAGCGTGTTTCAGATTTATGTACTAGTACTGGGACATCTTCGAAGCTCTGCAGCCATGGCTCCCAAACGCAAGACAGAAAAAGCCACAGAGGAGGCCATGGCCTAGCCGCTAGCCGAGTCGCAGAACAGCGCCCTTGTCACCTGAGAATGCGTACCGTTGCAGGACTACGAGTCCATGACCTTGGCAGTGCTGAAGGGCAAGGCCCAGGAGCTGGGAGTCGTGCAAAGTGGCAGCAAGAAGGCCAGGACGACCGCTTGCATAGACAAGTACCCTGTGGGTCACCACTCATGCAATTGGCCCTGGGCTTTTGGTCATTTGGCATCAGTCAGCTGCTTGTCCAGCTCTCGCCATACGCGGAGTGCAGGATCTGATCGAGCGACTGCGCTCTTTAGCTCAGCCGAAGAGACATGTCTTGAAGAGTCTTGTACGCCAGGTCCCGGAATGTCACGAGAGCTAGTAGTGTACTGAAGATCGCAGGATTTCGCAAGCTGTGCTTACCTAAAAGGGTGAGACCTTACGAAGACAACAGGCTCTTGCAGCTTCCTGGCCCAAGGAAGCGTGCAGCACCCCCTGCAGCGGAAGAGAAGGCTCCCAAGCGAGGCCCGTAGATCTGCGACTTTCATCAGCATTTGTCGGTAGCCAGGTGCTCTTTATGCAGCATGGTGCCAGCAGTGCACATTTTGATGCATCTTACCCAAGCCTGCAGGTAAGGCTGAGTCTGGGCCCGTCGAAAAGGCAGATTGAGATTCGATGTGTTCTGGATCTGACGTGTCGATGACCTTGCATCCTAGCTCTGAGGCGGAGCCCAAGGGTAAGGCCAAGGCCAAAAGCCGCGGCAAAGCGGCCAAGGAGGTCACGGGTTCATGCAAGATCTTGCTGTTACTTCGGATTGCGTTTTTCGTGACGATTCCCGAATGCTCCAAATCAGCCACCAGAATTAAAGCAAATATACGGTGCATGAAGAAACACGGATTGAACCTACCAGTAGCGCCTTTTGCGAGTCAGCTCATGCACTTGACCATTCAGGCATTACTACTGCTGCTGCTGCTGACTGCTATTACTACTACTGTTAGTACTGCTGCTGCTACTGACTGCTACTATGCTGCTGACTGCTGCTGCTGCTGCTGCTGCTGCTGCTACTACTACTACTACTACTACTACTACTACGACTGCTACGACTGCTCTTGCTCCTACTCCTCCTCCTCCCACTCCTTTTCCTTCTCCGACTC